CCCCCACACACACACACACAAAAAAACACGAAAAAAAACATTTAAAAACCCACTAAAAGTTGTTTTTTTTAAAACAGAATTCTATAAGGAAATTATCATTTTTAAACTTCCTTTTTGAGTCTTTGGATGGTGACTCATTTGCATTTTTCGGCGATAACAACATAGCTCGAGTAGAGGTCGGCCATTTTGGTCGAAGAAAAAACAGCAGAAAAAAGGCCAAACGTGACTGGCTGAAAGAAATTATGTTTTGCACCACGCAATTGGATAAAAAGATTTAGCAGCTTTTGGTAGAGTTTCCTTCCGTTCATGTCTTAGCCTAGCAGGTTTTGATGGGGTTCCACTTGTGTCGTTACAAAATACTGCACTATTTAGCAGGTTTTTGCTGGTGGAGCTATTCGTGGGACAGGCGTACGTGACCTCTGAAGGGGCTCACGATGGTAACTCATTTTTTTCTCCAAAACTTGAAGGATTGTTCTGGGCCAAACTGCAGCAGAGCTCACCACCCACTTGACCCTGTCACATTGGAGTTGTAGGTTAAATATCGACGGTCCTCTGAAAATAAAATGTCTATTACGGACACACGCGTGTTCAACACAATAAAATACATTATACAATACATGTTGACCTTTCGTCTAACCCAAGGTTCCTTTTTATTATCATTTTACCAGCAATTGATCAATTTTGACAACTGCTTGGTATAACAATTTAAATTTAATGCGTCAGAATATAGAAGGTATATTTCCCTTTTATAATGAAAAAGGAATGGGTTCCGTCCCCTCATTAACAACTATGTCATTATAGTTTAGTCAATATACCATTTTAATTGTGTCGCAGTAAATATTTACAAAGGCGAAAGGCAAAGTGACCTGTTTTTTGTTTTGTTTTAATGTAAAATATCGCAAAGACGTTTCTCATAGTAGGCCTAGATCTAGATCTAGAACTTCTACTCTTTTTCTTTTCTGTTGAGACAAAGTAATGGCAGAGCTGTTTATATAAAATGAGAATCTCTCAACGAAAATGTACCAAGCACGGAAATGCTACAGCATCTGTGCAACAGATGGTGAAACCCAGCCCTTGCAGAAGTGGCGTGCTTCAACATGCGAAAGGGCAATGACCGTTTCTGGCCTATATAAAGGAGAAAGGAACGCTAGGCATTCTGTTCTGAGTTCCGTCTAGGTCTAAAAAAAAAAAGTTAACCCTATCCCTGGGGTTACTTTGTACCCCCGGGGTTGTATTCTTCACATTTTAGCATACTCCTAGTATGAAGATCACTTAAAAACTCAGTATTTCTCTAAAAATCTTTTTGACCGACTGCAATGCAAAGCGTACGGATCGGATTAACGAGTAAATTTCCTTTGGAAAGTGGTGGCACAGAGCTCCCCACGTCGTATAGAGATACGATTGTAAAACACGACGTACGGATAGGGTTAAAGAGAGATGGAGGAAACGAAACGTTATATTTATAGCACACCCTACTGACTGGTGAACCCAGAGCATAAATTTACAATCATTGGGTGAACCCAAGATTCTCTGCTGACACGCCAGCACTGCCACGGGAAAACACTACTTTTTTGTCTCCGTTCCCTCCCACACTTAATTTTAAGGAGTGGGGTGGAGGTGGAGGGGGAGGGGAAGTGAATGTGGTTGTGCGTTGGAAGCCTCTCTCTCTCTCTCTCTCTCTCTCTCTCTCTCTCTCTCTC